ATATTATTCGTTTCGATCATGAAATAGATGTTCTTGTCAATAAAAGAATATTTGCTAAAGTTTACTTATTTATAAATTGACCTATATATAAATATATTCTTGCTACTAAGTCAAACATGGTTATGAATTAAATCTAATTTCATTGGACCCTCATAATTCTTAATCGATTTTTTCTCATTTTGGATGATATTCTTCATTTGTTATGAAATAAAGTGATATATAAGAATGACATCCATACCAAATAATATTTTGAGATAATAACATATAGTGATGTATTATTGATAGCGTGTTTCGACCAAATCTTTCAATTGTTTGGAAAAACTGTTTGTCAAATTTTTTTAGAATAATATTCATTAAATAATTTCTTAATTTTTTATTAGTGGATATATATCATTTGCTTATTTCGATCATGATTTGGTCAATTTATATTTTTTAACCAATGCGTTGATTTTCTATTTGAAAAGAAAATATAAAAAGATCTTGTTGGACATCATGGGATGAAACATCTACACTTCTTTTATTTCATTGAGTGTCGTACACTCTTTGTCATGAGTTTAGCCTCTTATGGCGCGAGTTCATTCGAAATTTTTAAAATTTTAATCCATCTTAATATTATTTTCTGACTCCGCCCCGGGGGTGTTCCACCAAAACGAAAGGTTCAGGATATTTCATAAAATAGACTAACGTTAGGGGATTTTCGTGCCTATTACCCTAAGTAATAATAGAGGACAGAAAGCAAAAGGGAATATTCAGTTAATATCTGCGTTCATACTATTTAATGGTCTCTTAGAAAGATAATATTAATTCAAGTGTTCATGTGACTTGGATTAGTAAATGCATTTCTATTGCATAGACTCAAATATAATATTTAAGTCAACGAATGCATTACGTCCTGACTGAGCCATTTCACTAAACAATGCAAAAACAAAAGATAATATAGGTGCATGTATTTGGCAATATATTTCTTTCAAAACCATTTTGGAGTTGCAGAAGAAGGGTCAAAAATTGGAAGAGAACCTTCAGCCTGCAGCCTTGCACCACACTTTCTGGTATGAAACGAGGCGCGCGTATATATTATCTTCTTCTTTTTGATGATTTTCCTTGTTTCTGTTTTCATTAATAATACAAAATTGAATTGATTGTAGCATATTACAGGCATCCAACAACGTAGAACCTTAAAGCTCTGATAGATTAAATCTTTGGATGAAAAATGTGTAGAGTTCCTCTCTTAAATGGTCAAGAAGGTATAGATCACTATTTAAAGAACATGTCTCGTAGATCTCTCTGTATTAGTTTGAATTTGTGGATTAACCAGTATGCTGTCGCTTTATATATAACACGTTGTTTTGAATTCTAAAATGATGTTTGATGTGTCGAACCACCTCATCTAACTTGACAAATTCATTTATTTACTTTGATTTGTTATTCAACGCTTCTCCATGTTAACGGTCAAAAATTTGTTTCCTTTTCGTCGAAGACCTTACATGTGTAAGCATGAATCTGAACTTTTTCTTTTTCAGTTCCGAGGAGCAAATTTGATCAGATATGACTGAGGAAAAAATGTTGCATACATTGAGAGATAAAGCAAGTGATGGGCCAATTAGTATAGGAACAACAGGCCGAGTTGGGACCCTCATGATGCAAGAACTTGAAGCCAAAGAATGTAAAAGGAAACCACACAACGCTCCAGTTGTCTCCCTCTATTGTGGACGGAGCCGGTTCTTGCCAACCCCTAATTGCCTTGTTTCAAGAGAGAGTCCGAAACCAACGAGGAAAAGCGCCGACTCGGGAAATAACAGTTCTAGGCACAGAAGGGCACAATATGGTTCACAACATATGCCTATGCTCCAATCTGAAGAGACGGTTTCTGTAAATACAACTCCTGTAGGAGTCAGAGGAAGACCTGGTAAGAAAGTATCTAAATTAGTTGAAATTGTAGACTTGAAATGTGGGAATCAAGAAAGAAGTTGGCCAGTTCCTATTACAAACCAGCTCAAGAGGGTTAGTTTCTCAAAGCTGTCTGGTTAATTATTAATTGTTGCTAAGTTTGTATAATGATTGATCTTGAGTTCATGTGATATCGACTAGAGCGTTGAATTTGTTGTACATCAACATTTGATGCTAGCTAGTTACTCCTACTTGAGGTTGTTTATGTAAAAGATGATTTGGCTGAATATTTCTGGGATGCATTCTCATTGATTTCGTATGTCAATATATAGCTATGCAGGCCTTTGCTTTACATGGAAATAAATAAATGTTGACTTGTGCAATTGTCT